TGATAAAGACTTTTTCTGAAATTTGTGATAAATACACTTTAAGATTATTATCAAGAAAATATAATCTTTCTTTTAAAGAACCTCGTTACTTACCAAAAGAAAAAAAGCAATTTGAGAATTACAATTGTGTACATAATAGAAATTCAAGTATTAAAATTGCGTACATAAGTAAAATTCGGGAATTACAATTATGTACATAATTTTAATTTGCGAAAATGTTTTATGTTATAACGTGAAAAAAAATTCAGAATTAATATTTTGTCTAGACATAATTTTAATTCTGCATTTTCAATTACAGCTTAACAATAATTCGATGAATTATAAGTAAGTCTAGACACATAATAATAATTTCTTTTCTTTCAGTATCAATTTAATTTGATACAATTTTTATAATAGTATTAAATAGTAAAATGACAAGCGTATACGCACACGCAAAAGAAAAATATCATTCGCTAGTGCTAAGAAAACCAATTACTCAGTTTTCTCTGTTTTTAAGTAACGATGATCCTTACAAAAAATGTTTTCTTGATAATATTACTTAAAATAAATAATATTCTACATTCTAATTATTCGATTCTTCAGTTAAGAATATAAAATTAAAACAAACATTTGATTTGCTAATTATTTTGATAGGACAAGTCAAGGCTATGACGCAGATCACAGTGCGTAATATCAGAAATAACTGATTTATTCGTCGTTTTCATACATCGATCCGTAGGTTTCGGCTCAGCTTTGAGCCATCTTCAGCAGTAGTTGCACAAGTTAAGTTACACGTTCTCCGTACCGTGTGGTGAGTTTACTGATTCCAAATATCAGAAACATAGACCAATTGAGCCATATCCGTAAATTTGTTCAATTAATGTCGAGATATTAAAAAAATCCTTTAGGAAACTCATCATTCGGTCTGAAAAACGTGGAATACAGAGCCATGTACATAATGAATACTCTATGCGAGAAGACTTAACGATCTTATCGACAACGACACACAGCAATGATATGAAAGGTCCTGCAAGAAGAGGCATGTCGTAGGTCAATACACCGGCGAGAATTATAACAAAGCACGATTTGACACCGTCTCAAAATGACACGGATTTTTTGCATCATGCATATGTCACGGTTTTGAGCAAATTGTAATCCATGCTCATGAACTTTGGTCGTTGGCAAATCGGGGTTTTACTATTGATACGTGCAATATTGTGACGGTGTCAAATCGTATCTTTGTTATAATTCTCGTCGGTGTGTTGACCTACGACATGCCTCTTCTTGCAGGACCTTTCATGTCATTGCTGTGTGTCGTGTCGATAAGATCGTCAAGTCTTCTCGCACAGAGTATTCATTATGTACATGGCTCTGTATTCCACGTTTTTCAGACCGAATGGTGAGTTTCCTAAAGAATCTTTTTAATATCTCGACATTAATTGAACAAATTTGCGGATATGGATCTATTGGCCTATGTTTCTAATACTTTGAATCAGTAAATTCGCCATATGGTACGGAGAACGTGTAACTCAATTTCTGTAACTACCGCTGAAGATGGCTCAAAACTGAACCGAAACGTACGGATCGATGTAATGTATCAAAATGACGAATAAATCAGTTATTTCTGATATTACGCACTGTGATCTGCGTCTGACCCTCATAGTTTTGACTTCTCCTATTTTAATCTCGAGGTTCCTCATATTACGTTATTTATTTTTTTTAACTTTCTTTGATAGAATTTTATTATGCTTCTTGAAGGAGTATAAATTCTTCTTTCGAGTACATGATAAAGACTCTTTCTAAAATTTGTACATTTTATAACTATTATCAAGAAAATATTCTTTCTTAAAGACAACCGTTACTTATTAAAAGAAAAAAGTAAATTGAGTAATCGCTTTTTTAAGCAGTAGAATTGATATTTTCTTGTGTATGCATGTACACACGTATGTACATACGTGCGCACAAAAAAATTTTCTATGTCGTTAGAAAATTTTACTATCATCGCTTAGAACGGGGGCCCGGCGTTACGCGCCGCTCGTGCGTGATCGCCGCCGCTTGTTGTAAACAACTGCCCGCGCGCGGACCGCGGGGCGGTCGTATCTCACGGCGCGCTTGGATTTGGCGATGGGCCGGGCCAATACGGCGATTTTTAATTATTAATAACTCATAAACTATTGAGAAAATTGCAAAATGGTACAAGACTTTTCGACTCAGTTTGGCTCGTTCTATCTAAATACGAGAAAAGTCCCCACGATTTACGGACACCCTGTATATATATGGTTATATATATATATGTATATATATATATATATATATGGTTATATATATGTATATATATGTATATGTATATGTAACACACATCACATATAAGCATTTACGTATGATACATGACACATCACATATAAATAGTTATATATAATATGTATCATATCTAAGTATTTATATATAATGTGTCACGTGTCATATATATACATATGTATATATACGACACGTGACACATTATATATATACTAGCTTTTCGGCCCGGCTTCGCGCGGGCCTCAAATAGATCTATCTGTATATTAATTATATATGCTTTTTTTTATTCTCACTTTAATAATAATTTGTAATTTAAATACATTCTTTTTATTTTTAAAAAGTTTTAATTTTTCAACATTAATTTTTTAATATTCGTAAATTTTGAGATATCGGGCCTTTTTTTTTTTTTTTTTTTTCTTTGGAGGAGGAAAATGCCTAATGCATACCCTAGGGTCGGTCCCTAGGGTTATGCCGGACTTGCACCGGCTAAAAACCTCCCCCGGCCCCCACCCTTGGTATAAGTCACAGTTTTATTACTTTTACTTTTGTTGACTATGTAATCCGCAATTTTCTCTATACTTTATAAAATTTCTCGATATACCACATTTTTGGTATAAGATGTATTTTTTCCCTCAATTAAATGTCCTTGTTTGTTGGTTTCTTCTATTTTTATTTTTACATTTTCTTTTTTTGTTGCTCTAGAAAATGCTACATAGAGTTGTCCATGTGCAAATACTGTATTTCGTAGATATATCCCTACCTTTTTTAATGTTTGTCCTTGGGATTTATTTATTGTCATTGCAAATGCGACACGTATTGGAAACTGTCGCCTTTTAAGCTTAAATGGTAATTCAATATCACTTGGTATGAAATCGATTCTTGGTAATAAGACAATTTTTCCTTTTGCTGGTCCTGTCATAACTTCCGCATGAATCAGGTTTGGTTTCAGTTCTTTTACAATCAATCTTGTTCCATTGCATAATCCTTTCTTTGAATTGATATTCCTTAAAAGTATTATTATGGCACTCACTTTTAATTTTAATCGATGAACTGGCATTCCACTTGGTGTCACACTATTTAAAAACTCCGTTGGAAAATTTAAATGTTCCTGTTCTTCTTCACTTTCAATAGAGTCAATGGATAGATATTCCTTTTCTTCTCCTTCCATTAAACTTAAAATCTTGTCATTAATTTTAAACGTGTCCTCATTTTTTGGACAGAGGATTGCTCTATCTGAATTCTCCATTATTTCTTCCATAGTTATTTTTTCTCCAAAAATCTCTGTAATTAGTGATCCTGTACATAAAAATTCATGTGGAATTTCTATTGTATCTTGTTGTAATCCATCTGTATTCGTCAATTTTCCTTCTCCTAACTCCATTAGCCAATTTGCAAATTCTCTTTCCTCTCCTGTTCTCATATTTTTTTTGAGCTTAATTTTAATTACTTTTTTCCATATTTGGTTTTGTTTTACAGTCGACTCAATTATGGCTATTCTGTTTGCATGAACCACTACGGGTAAATTCTGTCTAAAGTCTCCTGTAAAAAGAATTATTTTTCCTCCAAATGGTTTTTTATTCCTCATCAGATCTCTTAATAATTTATCGACTGCTGTTAGAGCTTGTCCTACAGTCATGCTCACTTCATCCCATATTATTAGTTTCGCAGAAATTAATTGTCTTGCTTCCTGCGTTTTTCCTCTGATATTTGATTTCGTTCTCTCATCTATTGGTATTGTTAGCTTGAACAAACTGTGATATGTTCTTCCTCCCTTTAGAAGTGTTGCTGCTATGCCTGTTGACGCACATGGTAAAACCACCTCGTTTCTTCCTCTGATTACACTTAGTAATGTATTAAACAGGTATGTTTTTCCACTTCCAGCAAATCCGTCTATAAAAAATAATCTTTTGACTTCATTCTCATTTTCAATTGCTCGCATTACTAATTCGTACACGTGCTTTTGCTCTGCATTTAATGTCAATAATAAATCTTCTCCTCTACTTCTTTCCTCATCTGAATTATATTCTATTTTAGTAATTTTCAATGACTTCGGTTTTGGCAATTTGAAGTTTATGCAGCTAGTTCCATTATTTCTCATAATTTCCTCGATATAATTCATAGCTATATTTTCTGGATTATTCATATTTTTATGTACATAATCTTCAATCATTGCGTCTTTATATTTATTCCAAAGTGTTGGTACATCTATAGGCGTTCCATATATGCAAATATAAGCAAATAGTTCTCTAATCTGTGCAGGCATTTGGCTCTCTTTCGCTTCTTCTAGCGTTTTGTCCCATTGATCGTCTGATTCTATCAAATTTCTTGTTTTTGCCGCATCTTTAAACGTCTCATAAAGAACTCCGTTGACAGTTCTCAGATCCTCGTAACATTTAGCTCCCGCAACATGTAGGAGAAACATTCGTAAATAATATCTTTCATTATCTTTTATGCTTACTGTATATAGTCTTGAAATGATCTTTTCTGTTCCTTTTTGACGTAATTTCCATTTTGTTTCTTTCTTTTCATACACATATTGTGACGAAGTCTCTGTGTATAATAAATCCCTCGCTCTTTCATCATCTTGATTCAATTTAAACCATGCAGTAAGTGTAGTGTCCCTTCTCTGCGCACTTATTGCTGCTTGCTCTTCATTTCCCTCTTTGAAATATACCATTTGGCGATTAGGCAAATGAACTGCCAGTCTTATTATTGTATGAGACTTCATAAACATTTCATATCCGTTCAGTCTCCTCATTGCTTCTGGTGTACTAACATATCTTGCATCCATAAATGATTTTACCTCATCTATTTTAATGAGTTTCGTTCCATCTCTTGCTTGCACCTCAATGGCAGCACAATCAAATCCTTTATGAATGTACTTGTATAAGTATTTAACGCTTTTTACTGATGAACATATTTCCAAATTCGTGTGCCGATCATATTTCATTAATAAATATGGCGAATATGGCACTACCCATCGATTATCAATTTCTTTTCCTCTTACCTTGTATTTTTTCCCTGTATTCCTTCTTTGATACATGGGATACATTCTCATTTGCTTTTGTTTCCTCTCTAAATTCTTTCGGATAGCCTTTTGTACAATTTCCATCTTGCAGCAACTTATCCTGATTGACCGCGAGCGATTAATGACGTCACTTGAGCAAATCGAGCATGTATATTTCATATACAATTCTTTAAAATTCGATCGATTATTTCCCGAAAAATTAAAAAAATTAAAAAAATCGGTTTCCAGAAATTGACCGCGAGCGATTACTCGCGGTCAAACAGACAGACAGACTTAAAAATTAGAAAAATTAGAAAAACCGGTTTCCAGAAAATCGATAATGAAAAATTATATACTTTATGGCACTCTCCAGAAAATCCTACCCCTATTTCACGTACTCGTGGTAAAAATTCGATCCACTAACGAATGAGTAGTTCGCGATCAGACAGAAAAATTTAAAAAATAAAAAAAATCGATTTTCAGAAAATCGGTAACGAAAAACTGTACACTTTATGGCACTCCCCGGGAAATTCTACCCCTATTTCATGTACTCGGGGTAAAAATTCGGTCCACTAACGAATGAGTAGTTCGCGATCAGACAGAAAAA